TGTGTGTGTGTGTGTGTGTGTGTGTGTGTGTGTGTGTGTGTGTGTGTAGCAGAAGCTGTTGCCCAGGAGAAACAGTGTTGACGTATTTCAAGCTAAAGCCAGGATGTGCCTTTTCTGCCTCTTAGGGAAAGAAGCCATAAACACATAACACATAGGACCCACTATGTAGACATATAAGTTATGTTAACCCAGACCCTAACTTGAGTCTTTAAAAAGTACCAGTGTTGGGAACTTAAAGTTGAGTAAGTTAGAAATTACAGGTAGACGAGACAGGAAAAGGGTGGTCAGGCCTCTCTAGGGTCTTCCCAAACCAGTGTTTGTATGAGACCTAACATGGAAGCATTTCCTGCACACCCAGGATGTTCCAGAACCTCTGTTGAAGACTTTAAAGCATACTGTGGTTCTCATCCTATAAAAGACAGATCTATACGAAGCCAGTGGCTTCACAGGCTTACTGTGATTCAAAACATTGTCAAAACACAGCAGCTTCACTGTGAGTCAAGGACAGTGGTTTAACAGGCCTACTGTGAGTCAGAGTTTTAATAAGACTTGGAGCAGAGCTGAGGTGCCCGAAGATTAGATATCAGTGCTCAGTCACTCCCATACCATCAACCCATTCATCAGCTCATTGGCTTTACGTGGGTGAAAGAATCCTGTGACTGACCCAAGAAGTAGCCACAGGACATGGGTGCTTTGCAGGTGCTGACCTCCCAATGATGCTTTGGGCAAGGTGTGTTTTGGGTGAAAGTCTTGCTTGCTCCTGGCTCTCTGCTGAACAAGAAAGCTGTGTCTAGCAGTTCTAATTGCCTGGGGCAGAGTCAGAGTTATAAATGGAAATTGGAGACTTGGTTTTGAAGTCTAAGCTTTCTTTATCTCTTTCCTCATTATCTTACTATACAACCCCTTGCGATGGCAGATCAGGGGTGTATTGGGGATGGAAGAGTTCAAGTCAGCCTGGTGAGGCCAGCAGAGAGAACCCTTTATGCCCATTGTTGAATTCAGCAGATGGGGCTCCTTTTTAACCCAGTGGCATCTCAGATCTACTGTCAGTCAGAGCCTTGACAAGTCCCAGTGAAGGTCTATGTGAGTGATCCACTCACAAAGACTAAGTCCCATAGGTCAAATAGAGTAGGACCGAGCTTTGAGTTCACCTATTGATCTGTTGATGCTTTGCTGCCCACACAAGGAAGCTTTAAGGAAAGAAATCCTATGTCCATCTTGAGAGATTGTGTTGGTGGCTATGGGAGAAGAGATAGAAGGGCTCACATGGAGGTGGGGAGGCCATGGAGAAGACCATAGCTTCTGCTGCTCCAAGAACCATGTCTACAGAACTGCTCTCAGCCTCCAGGCAGAAGCAGGCTTCAAAAAGCCATAGGAGCTTCCAGAAGCCGTGCAGCCATTTAGCCTTACAGTCACACACAGCCAGGCAGCCACCTTCTGCTTGGGGAACAAGAGCCCCGCACCTGAACAGACAGTGGTTTTCAGGGGACACAGAGCATTTCAGTGGGAGATGGAGCAAGGAACAGAAAGCTTGTCTCAGAAATTTCTTAACAGAAATTCTTGTCTCAGCAGCCTGAGACAAGAATTTGGTAGATCAGGTCAGAAAGGCTGCTTGTGAGCCAGAGCGATCACAGCCTACAGATTTTAGGAGAACAGACGTTGCAAAAAAGTGTCTCCTCTTTGTATCCTCATCTGTTTTATAATTGTGGTAAAACATGTGTAACTTGGAACTTATTATCTCTGCCATTTTTAAGGATGTAGATACTGAGTGTGTCGACACTGGGCAATCATCATGCCCATCAGACCCCAAGGACTGTCTTGACCTTGTAAAACAACTTCTTCCCCCTCTGGTCCTTGGCAACCACAATTGATCCATCTCTATGAGTTCGTTAACTCTGTGGACCTTGTGTAAGTGGAATCATGCAGTGCTTGATTTGTAATTGTCCTATTTCACTTGCCGAAATGTCCTTGAGGTTCAGACATGGGAGCATGTATCAGAGCAGCCTTTCTTTAAAAAGCTGAGTAATGTATGTCCACATGGAATGATTATAATGTTTGACTGTTTCTGAGTAAAACAGTCATCAGCATGGATGTAGAGATGACTCCTATTTCTTACCTAAGTTTGTCTCTGTTTCTTACCTGAGTTTGGATATTGCTAAATTTTAATACAGTCCTGGTGTTTTTGAGTAGCAGCCATGATGTTGTCCATAATGGCTGTGCCATTTTACGTTCCCACAGCCATGTATGAGAGTTCTGGTTTCCTCACATCTTCTTCAATACTGTTTTATTGATTTGTGTAAAGGAACTATCCTAAGGAGCTTAAATAGTCTCTTGTCCTTTTCAACCACTTAAACCCTTGAAACAAAAGCCCAAGAACCCTTGAGCAGCTGATAAACCTGTTTGTAGACCAGATAGGGAGCTGTCTCCCAATAGTAGCTTGCAAAACATACTTTTATTATCATCCTAATGGAAACATGGTTGGTGATGGTAGTGGTGGTGGTGATGGTAGTAGTGTGTGTGTGTGTGTGTGTGTGTGTGTGTGTGTGTGTGTGTGTATGTGTGTGTATAGATGCCTGTGTGCCATGGCATACATATGGTGATCAGAGGCCAACCTCTTGTCTGTCCTCAGCCTCCATTTTGTTCGGTACAGGGGTCTCTTTTTCACCGTTGCATATACCAGGCAACCTGGCTCATGAACTTGCAGGGATTCTCCTGCCTCCCCCTCTTATCTTACCATAGGAGTACTGGGATTACTGACATTTGTTATTGTGTCGGGCTTTTATGTGAGTTCTAAAGGTTCAAATTCAGCAACTTGTACATGTATGTTCCCAGTCCTCAAATGATCCTTCTGGAATATCACCTCAGTCCACATCAGTCTAACTTCACATTTCTCCATCTTTATGAGTGGGATTTTTGTTCTCCTAATCACAGGCAGGTGGAAACTTGTGCGCCATTCATGATGCTACTATGCCCAGCCCCCACCCACATCGTCTTTAGTAACCCTCACAGCACTCTCAGGTACATCCCCACCTCTAATACCTTCCATTCAGGTCAGACCCTCATCAACTCAGCCCCAGAGGCCCACCTGGGGATATCAACATAAACCAAGCCCTGAGAGATAAGAACTTATGGCAAGCCTTTAGCAGGTACCTCTCCAGGCCAAGACCCTGGAGGGTACATCAGGGAACCATTTCTCCTTCAGTTGAGTTTGACCATCACGGTGAGGTCCTCAGTAAGGGAAATCTGGGTTCCGAGTGATTCTCAGAAATTCAGGGCTCTGCTTTGGGGCAATTGATTACAAACTCTCTGTGTATAAGAATCTCTGCACATTTAAATCTCCACATATGGTTGTAATACAAGGCAGAGGGCCGAAAGCCACTGTCCGGGGGTAGGGGAAGAGACATTCATCACAGAATCACAGAAACACATAGCAAAATAACTGCTGTGATGGAAAGTACCGATGCTGGGGAGATGGCTCAGTCAGTAAAACACTTGCCAGGCAAGCATGAGGACCTCAGGTTAAGCCCCAGAACCCGTGTAAATGATGGTGAGTGCTTTATAGCCTCAGTGCTAAGGAGGTAGAGACAGGTAGATGCTGGACTCACTGGATAGCCGGTCTAGCCCAACTGGTGAGTTGCAGGCAAATAAGAGACCCCCATCTCAAAACACAAGGCGAACAACTCCTGAGGTACACAGCTGAAACTGCACAGATGTGTAGACACACACACACACACACAACAACAACAACAACAACAACAACAAACCACATGAGCTGCAATGCTTCACAGAAAGTTGTATTTTAGGGTCCCAGCTTGGGTGACTGAGTGTGACCTGTGCTGTTTCAGCATCTCAACCACTCTTGTCTTTGAGTGATCAGAGATGCACACCCTCTTTCCTGAGACCCTGAAGCCCCCGGGGACAAAAACATCTAATAAAATCTCCACCCAGATGATATGTGATCTGAAAGGGTGCACCTGCTCAGGCGGCTGCTGATGCAGGGACTGAGAG